AAAACACCAGAACTTCGATCCAATTCACATATGGTAGGGTAGTTCTTGTTCGATTTTTATGTTGTCTCGCCGTGAGAGAATTCAATTTTCGCACTCTTAGTTGAAACCGATTGTTTAATTTTTAGCGGATCTACGCTCAATTTTTTTCTGTCGTCTTTTGCTATGATATCATCTGAACGCTCATTGCCATTCATCATCGTTTGTAAATACCGTCATCATCAATGTTTTTTTATGGTCGATTATTTTGGTTGTTGGATTCAATTCGGCTTTCTCTATTCTTTATAAACAAATATGTATACGCTTAAGCACTTTGATCGTCTCATTTAGATTACTTTAGTACACTAGCATCAAGCTTGAGTTCAGTGTTACGAGGGGATCACAGAGCTTTTGTAGTAGCTATAGGTGAAAACTAGCTTGTTCCATCTTTAAAAAAGCTCCAGCCAAACATTCAACATTTCTTGCTGTAAATATGAAATGAAAATAATTTATTTTTCTTCTTTTCTTTAATTCTCGTCATAAACGTAAATATGTACACGTCACTAAATTCTACGCTGTGTGTGTCACTATTATTGACTCATATAGATTTATAGCTCGTGCATGTGTGTATATATATTTGTTTCATGACAACAATAAAAGAAAGGAAGAGGAAAAGAAAATATTATCGGTTTTTTTCTGTACTACTTTTGCGTTTTGGCATGGGTGATGTGAATGAAATTCAAAAATCTAGATTTCTCTCGGCGTTTGATTATATCTTTTTAATTCTAGACAAATAAAACATTACATAATTGGAAAATAAATTATGCAACTTGTCTTTGCCGACCATCCAATTCCCTCTGTTGTTACCAAATCAATTTTCTTAGCAGGACCATCTCCACGGGACAAAGATGTCATTGATTGGCGCCATGAAGCTCTATCGTGTCTCTGCTCCTCACCAATTAATTACGATGGAACTGTTTTTATTCCAATTCCTGAACAGCGTTTCTATGGCAAAGATCATAATCCTTCCACATGGACCTACGATAATCAGATTTCATGGGAATGCGAGTGTCGTCACATAGCTGATTTAATTATCTTTTGGATTCCTCGTCATATCGACGGACGAATGCCGGGATTTACCACGAATGTGGAATTTGGAGAGGATCTTCATTCTGGTAAAATTGTCTACGGCCGTCCTGAGAATGCTGAGAAGTGTCAGTACCTAGACAAACGTATGAAAGAGTTGAAATTACCCGTGTTTACTTCGTTAGTAGATACCCTTCGTCATGCTGTGTCTTTACTCGGCATGGGTGCATGTAGAAGAAACGGCGAAGTCTATGTCCCACTATTTATCTGGGAAACCGAGCAATTCCAATCGTGGTATGCTAATCTAAAACTAGTGGGAAATCGTCTGGATAAAGCAAAACTTTTACACCATCTTAAATTTGATAGTTATAAACAAGTTTTCTCCTACGTATTGTGGGTCAAAATTTGGATTGAAGCAGAGAAGCGGTACAAAGACAATGAATTCATCTTCGCTCGTAAAGATATCAGTGCGGTTTTAGCTTATTACAGAGATAACGATGGGGACATTAAAATTGCTATAGTCAAAGAGTTTCGTAGTCCTGTCAATAACTCCGATGGCTTCGTCTACGAACTACCTGGTGGTAGCTCACCAACTCCGTACACGGATCCACAGCTTACTGCTAAACATGAACTAGAAGAAGAATGTGGGGTAACTATTAAGGACATGTCACGTTTCAAGTACGTTGGACAACGACAATTAGCTGCTACATTATCCTCACATCGAGCACAGCTCTATAGTATTGAGCTTACGAAAGAAGAATATGAACAATTGTTAAAGAACGAAAAAAATAACACGACATTCGGAGTAGCTGTCGATACAGAAAAAACTTATCTGAAGATGATCAGTATTTCGCAGCTACAACATAGTTTTCTCGATTTTTCAATGCTCGGAATGATCTACCACGCACTGTACTTGAATAAACAAGATTAAGTGTCAATTATCTAAACATGCTTCTAAACATTCTAGACAAAGTATTAAATTCTGTTATTTTTTTACAGTGTTGCATCATCTCTAATCTACAGCTAACTCACTTTCTTACAAATATTTTAGCTATCTTGAAAAAAAAGCACTTGTTTCCTCTTCTGCTTCGTCAACATCATCATTTCTTCTATCAACTCTTGTAGTCCTGATTTATCACAACTCACTATCTGAAAGATCAAAGATATTAGTGCATTAAAGCACAGAATTTGTTCTCAATTTTGGTTAATGTATACCTAAACAAGAATCGTCTGCTCTAAAATTTGCAATGAAAACTCAGCCATGCATTTTGTGCTTCATTTAGAGATATCATCATTTTTATGGTCAAGTATCCTTACAAAAAGAAACAAAGCTCAACTTGTCGTTTTCATCCTATTCGATGTCTCGATTTCTTTTAAACACTGTTGCCAAAAAGAACAGATTTTGTTCTCTTGAATTCCTTTCATCTAATCACTCTTTTCTTAAGAGTCAACGTCTTGATTCTTAATCAATAATCTTTGTTAACTAGCAATGGTTTTGATTTTTAAATTGTTTTATTGTTCATATTATTAATTATTATTTCTTTCCATGAACCAACATCCCTCACTAAAACGCTACTTGATGTAAAACTCAATGGGTTTCAGTAATATGTACAGATTTAAGAATAGCATGATAGACTCATGTAAGGCTTTGTGTAAAGTAGAAAGAATACAAGTAATATTATAGGGAACCTTAACTGGCACCTGATGGTGGATATGGCTGGGGCTTACGCTTAGAAAGGGGAAGCAATGGAATTTCCTACTTTTAAATTTTCTCTTGTGTTCAGCATTTCTCTCTGAAAATTTTTATCATTGGTCACGTAGCAGAGTCCTTGATTTTTGATCATGTAAATATAACAAAAATGTGCAAAACAAACAGCTTCCTATCTACCTTTTCACAGAGAGACACTCAGTTTTTCCGAAAGAGTACGATGCATTTGAAGAATTCATGAGAAATGAGTTATTTTTTTTTAATAAGGGTGTGGAGTTTCATCTCATTCACACTCTTAGACCCATCTCCGTATTTACACGTACATCCACAATTTTGTACACATGTACTAGACACTAACGGCTTAGAGTTAGCAATAAGAAGAACGGATCTGTTCCTTTAGTTGATCAGTTATGGATGAAACAAAAAATGCAACATGCTTGCTAATCGATTTTGGTACTCACTGTATATATGTCATGAGATAATCGCGGGTGTTATCATCGAAATGAAGCATCTATGAAAAGAATTTATAGAAGGATTGAGATAACAGAAAATGTAGAACACGAAAAATACTGCTTTACATTAAAACGTGTCGTTTTGTCGAAACAAGCACTAGATCGAAAATGCTGATCAAAAGCTTATCTTTTCATATAAATAACATGTTGGTATAATCCTCGCTTATCATTTTTGTTGACATTTTTCTCATTGTTGATAAGGTACAAATACGAAGAATATAACATATTGTTTTAAGAATGATAGATCTATGTAATTCCAGTCGTTCGATCAACGGTCATGTACAGTGACTATCCCAATCGTTTTGCGAAGAACTAAACCCTTAAGATTTATCTTTAACGATTTCGGTTCAAAGATCATTTCCGATCAATAAGATGATATATGTACTTACCACCGTTAACTGTATGATATTTCTTCACTAAATTCTAACTTGATAAATATCTACCATACTGGTAATATCTTCATCAATAAATTTGAGCGCAGCTTACCAAAACAGAATGAGGCAGATTGAACATTACATGATTTTCGAACACAAACTAAAATAACTTGTAATTATCTTAGAATCTTTATATAGTTTTTTTGTCTTCAGTAGAAACTGATTAAAGCTTGATAAAAATCATGAATAACTTCGTTATTTGGTAGTCTTCGTATCTCATGAAAACTACTTCGACTTCAATATAGAATGTTACTGAAAATAGTAGTAAAAACTCTAAACGACAAGAAATGATCGGAGGTATTGAGAAAATGTTCCATTTTTTACAATTCATTCAGAATTAATTCAGATGAGATCATGTATTGATATTGCTCGATCCTGTTTCTCTGTTTAGATTATCGTAGTGATATTAATGCAATTCGAAACTAAACCAAAATGAACTTTCGATGAATTTTTTGATTATACTACGTTTCCGTTGTTCAGATTTTCTCCAACTGGTCAACATTTACTTATTCAAAACGAGACGTCCATCATGAAATACTAGTTCTTATGAAAATACATTACAGCTCTATGATATACAGAACCAAACAAAAAATTTAATTACAACAAACGTTTATAAATCAATCAAACCACAATGGTCACCAAGCGGTAACCATATTGCTTTATTACCAAAAATCCATTCGTTGGCAAATACGATCGATGATTCTCAAAATAAGCAGCAATTAGAACAATATATTTTACTTATATTCTCTGATATAAGATGAACTACTGACGATTGAAATTGGAAAAGATATTCTTTCGGCTTTTACGTGGTCTAATAATGATTCATCTCCTTACTTTACTGATACTAATTTGAAGTTAATAGCTGAAGAGAATGATTTGTATAAAGATGAATGGAAAGATGTTGTTCAATATCAACAAAGTGTAATCTATAGTAGTACAATCTATCGCATTGTTCTCAATCCTAACAATCACTCATTGCCTGTGAAAAGAAACATCATTCGAAATGTGTCCTTTCTCATGGACCAATTATGATATGTTTCATTTGAAGAAAAACTCGTCTTTTCATCTGCGTCTACACTTGTCGAAAATTTAGATGATTTTGAACTCTATGCCATTGAGCTTCGAAATACATCGCCATTATTAAAATTGACACATAATGAAGCATTCGAAATAGGATTACAGTTGTCGATCGACGGTCGACATATATTATTCCAAACGTTCAATGTTAATTCGAATAAAGAAAAATTTAACAATACACAATATGGCCTTTATTCCTTAAACTTAATGAACGGACAAATAACACGTTTAGGAGAAAAATTTCGTGGTAGTATCATTAGATATGCATTAAAGCCTGATTCTGGTGTCTACATACTTGGACAATTAGGAACAGAAGTACATAGTTATACACAACAATTATCAAACGGAAGAATTAATTCATCACAATCGATGGAATGGAACATACGAATCGATTGTATTATCACATAATAATGGCTTAATTGCATTTATATATTCATCAGCTGTAAAACCAATGAAAGTTTATTTGATTAACAATATTAATCAACTCAAATCAGCACAAACAATAACCAATGAAAATGACTGATTTACTCGAAGGAGTTTACCGTAAAACAAAAGTATACAGTTGGATAAATGAAGATGATCATCGAGTGATTGAGGGAATACTTCATTATCCACCTGACAAGTTTGAATCTAAAATCCTACTTCTTTTAGTTCTTATTCATGGTGGTCCATATTAGGCTAGTCTAAATGTACTTGAGCTAGTTTGGTATCATCGGGCTCCTTTGGTTGCTTCAGAAGGTTGGCTAGTGTTAGAACCTAACTATCGACGATCAACAGGTTATGGTGATGAATTTCTCAATGAAATTCGTTATAGACCTTTATCTCGACTAGGAAAAGATATTCTTTGCGGAGTTGATCAATTAATTAAAGATGGAATTGTTGATCCTCAAAGACTTGCTGTCGGTGGTATAGTTATGGTGATTTTTTAACAAATTGGTTGATTAGACAGACTAAACGTTTTAATGCTGCTCTTTCGAGGTTCTGACGCTCTTGATTATACTTCAGCATGGGGTACGATAGATCTACCTGTACTGATCAGCTACTTGTTTGAAGGATTTCCATGAAAAGTACCAGATATTTACAAAAATGAAGCATTGATTTATCAATTAAATAGAATACATACGCCCACACACATCATTACTGGTGAAGATGATATTCGTGTTCCTGCAAGTCAAAGTTATATTTTAGAACAAGGACATCATTATCTTGGTATACCAGTAAAATTAATTACTTTTTCACAGGAAGGACACTCATTGAATAATAATCTTTGGCATGAAAAAATAACAGTTCGAAAAGAGCTCATTTGGTTACAAAGATATAGTAATCAATCAGTGAACTACAATGAGTTATCTAGTAACAATGAGAATTCGAAATTAACTTACGCTTTACAAGTCTATATGGTTTTGTTCTCAATTTTAGTAATAAAGAACAAGTAAGGTTCGTAGAATGCTAATTTACTTGATTGCAGGGTAACAGAATAAAAAATGGCATCATAACATAAATTCTTAACGATTGATTAAACATCTTATCTTCTGACAGCTGTCACATTGTTTCTTTTAAGAGTACTCTCTCATCATTTTTAGTTTAAAACTCGATTTTAGGCCTGCCCTATGGGATGATAGCTTCTAGTGCGTTCTCAAATTGAAGAATATGGCATCAGTGTTGGTAGTTGAAAAGGATCACATCCAGTCTCACCTCGATTAGTTCTTGTGTCACTTGATTCATCCTAAACAGAACAGATGATAATATTTGAGATTATTTTAAAATGCATTTGATTCTGAAGTCGAACTCGAATGAGATGAGCGATCGATGGTACGAAATATTTGAAGTAGAGGATGAATCAATTTCTTTAGCCGTCGTTAGAATTTGATGAATATCAACAAAAATTTTCGTCAAATCATTGTTATCAATAATTTATTCATCGCAGCCTCGAGTGAGAGGATATGGTACCATATCACATCTAGAAATGTATCCAGAATCGTTTCGTTTAGTCATCATCAGTATGTCTTACACAGACTTCAATTGAATTCCTTCTGTAAAAATTGAGTTATTCTGTGAGCGAAACATGAACGTTGGCGCAACAGCGCCAGCAAGATAAATAACATTCATTGACTGAACGTCGGCAACAAAAACAGGTGTCATGTACTCGTAATACATTCAAAATACAGGTTTATCGGAAGGCATGTTTAGCTTCGCATGATTACTGCTCATAGGATTCATCAAACTTGAATTTGTCAACACAAATCTAGCAAGTAGTGTTGAGTAGATGCTTAGCGACATGTTGTGGAGTAATCAAACGAAATTAAGCAATGAAATGAGTTGATATTAATCTCAAAAAATGTCGCATACGCTCAAGATTGCTTTCAAATTTTACTTAGCTCTTGTCGAAAATCATATCTTTTCATATTCATATTATTTGATATATTTTACAAATAAACAAGTCCCAAAAAACAAGACGCTTGACTTTTCACATAGTCACACAACCAATCTCTTCATTATCATCTTTCATCTAAGAAGTAAACAGAAAAGAGATATTAACAATATAAAAGCTTTAATGCTGCTAAAAAGTTTTAGAGCAGAGTTTCCAGGTTGTTGAACTTGCTCGCAGTATTTGCCACTATCTGTCTGATTCATACACTTCCACGATAATGTGTGACTTTCATCCATTCGCAAATTTAGTCCCGTTATATTGACGATTCGCTTCGTGATTGTAGTATTCGAGAACACTTGTCTGCCATTAACAGCAAAAATTATTGGCATATGATCAAATCCATATATTGCTAGTGAATCTAGTATTAAACTTGACATATGAGCATAGTTATTTTCTACAACATTGATTTTCAATTGTCGTTCTTGTGAAGACCATTTAAATGTAGCATAATAGTAGGATTTTGATCCGATCGTATCAATCGATTCACCATCATCATAGAATAGTTCACCTTCAGCATTTCCATTGGCATTCAATACAATGATCAGACCAAATGGTTTTTCTCTAGTATCACAATGAAAAATTTATGAAGGTGACAGACAATTATTCTTCTACTCACCGAGAATATTTTGTATTATTTGCCGGTTCTTGAGTAGGAATGATTGCACCACCTCGCAGAAAAATCGGAATAGTATTCAAAGGTACATCCAATGTGATAAATTGCTTTTCACGTAACATCCGAACACCTGTATAGTAATCGTACCAATTGGATGAAGGCATATATGCTTGAACTTGCCGAGCACCATCATCAGTTACTGGCGCTAACATGATGTTTTGACCGACGAGAAATTGTAGAAAAATATCCAGTGTATTTTTATCTGTGGGATATTCATGGAATAAAGGACGAATCACTGTTGAACCTTGAGTATGAGCTTTGTAGAAGAGTGTATAATAATAAGGAAGAAGAGTGTAACGAATGCGAAGAACGGAAGCCATGATTGCTGTAGCTGATGGAGACCACGCAGCCGGATCTTGATCAGGTGTCTTCCAAATATTGTGCTAGATAGTGAATAAAATCGATATTATCGCAATCGAAAAAAAAAGAAGATAAGCTTACATTCCGAGAGAATGGATAGAAAGCCCCAACTTGCATCCATCTAAATGATGAACAAAATTGCCGAAAGTTATAGGACGATATTTTGTGTATATCTCTTTCTCTCATCGTATACACATCTCTTCGGTGGGTGATTTATCAAAGCCACATATATCTGCACCATTGAATGAAATGCCAAACCAATTGAATTCTATCATTCCAATAAGTGATTGTTTCATTTTAACCCATGATGCTTCATTATCACCTAGCCAATGGCCACCCCATTGGCCCGAACCGACAAAAGTCGATCGGGGTAATATCATACTTCGTTTACCAGTAGCTGACTGTATGGCATCTAATGTGGGCTTCGTTTGAGACCATCCGTAGAGACTAGAAAGACCAAGAATACATTCTTGAAGCACAGAGAAGTCCAATCAAATCTATACCTGTGTACATCATAATGACGGTATTTTGGTTTTCCAGTACCAGGATCAATCTCACCTTGTAGAGCAGTCATACACAGTGTGTGATCAGAAAGTCGACCTGTCCGATTCATCGTTTCATCATAACGAAATGCCGCCTTAGTACGATAAGGTGGATCGTCCAACTTGCTTGAAGGACATTTCAACGTATAATTCGTGCCAGTCATATCCCAATTCCAAGCAAAATCATCATTCGTATTGAACAGTGCTGTACAAAATAATCTCCAATTCAGATAAAATAGTATGTGAAGAATGCTTACCTGGTTCATTCATATCGATCCAAAGTCCATCGACTGTCAAGTTGATACGATGAAAACCTTTGATCCAACGTGACCACTATGTTCGAGTTCGATTCGTAAAGAAATCTAATTTATAAAAAAAACACATTTTTATTTGCACCGCTGTCTCTCTTGAGAGATTAAATTTTACCTGGCATAAAGAGTTCTCCTGGTCAACAAGTACCTTTCATTAATCTGCCATTTTCCCATTTAATAAAAACATCTTCTTTAATGCCTTCAATAGTTGGTGCATAGTACTTTTGATCATCGATGGTTCCTGGATCCAATATAACAATTGTTCTCATTCCATCAGTACGTATTTGAGAAAAGAATTCTTTTAGCCCACGATAATTAATCGGATCGACTGTAAAATCTTTTTCTGCGTCCATATAATCAATATCAGCATATTGAACATCAAGTGGAATATCTGCATCTCGATTTCGTTTATTCACCATTTTCATATTTGTTAGATTCCCATAACCCCATCGAGACAAATGAAAACCAAGACCCCAATACGGTGGTAAAAATGATCTACCAATAAGCCATGTATATTGCTGAACAACTTGTTCAGGTGAAGGACCAAGAAAAACGAAAAAATCGAGAATACCACCAATGGTTCGAATGGTCAGTGATGCTTCTGGTCCAAATGAGTAATCCATAGCATTTGAATTGATTAAGAGAACCCCATGCATTTGATCCGATGGAACTTGAGTCGAGATTGATACTTGCTCCATCACAAGATAAAAAGGATGAGTACCGTAGTGATTCGCATTTGTATCCCAATGTACAGCTTAAAAAAAAGGCATCGTTTTTATTTGCTTTAATCCAATGAAGAATTGCAAAACTATCAAGAACTCTTTTTTCATGACTAACCTTGATCTCGAACGAAAATACCCATATTTTACGCTCTGTGACATTGTGTTTAAGTGTCTCATGATTGTTTTCCCCAAAACCATAAACATGAGGCGATTGGAGACGAGTGACAATTTGCAAGAATTGATTATTTAGAACAAGATCACCTATTGATGTGTCGAATAGAGTAATTGAATCAGCACGACGTCGAATTCCAAACGAAAACAGATTATCACGTGCGCTATCTGTTGAATAAATAAATTCGTATAGTGGTGATGACGCTTCACCGGATGAAGCTGTTAATGAAAGTGGAACCTAAACGATAGAAAAATAATCTAGTATCATGAATATTCTTTGTCAATCTTACTTCATATCGTGGATTATCAGCATCATACAATTTGAATCTGATTATATCGTTAGTGTAGTATTGAACATCAAGTAGAATATTTTCAATCGGTTCTGGAAATGGACTTCCTATGGCTTGATTCCGTTGTAAACATAATCGTATTCCAGTAGGCGTTCTCTGTGCATCTTGTTGTAGTTGATAACCATAAGTAGCTCGCAGATAACATTGAATCCCACTTGGATCCGTCGATTCGTCGAAGAGACAATTACGAGCAAGACAGGCATCTTTAGAAAAATTCGAATATTTTGCTTCAGCTTCTGGATAACAATCGATTCGATCAGTGATTGGTACTTCTTGTCGTTGGCCACCAGTAGAATTGCCAACAACGGATATGATTACAATGGTAAATGTGAAAAGAATTAAAGAATAGCGTGGCACTCTCATTGCTTGGCACTGATGCAGGACCTACAGAAAAATAACTTCATTAGAAATGGAACAACTGACTTTATTTGCTGTCTTGTAGACGGAAAATGGCGATTCCAAAGACTTTAGCATCTAATATTCACTCACGCTGCACCTTTTCAACGCAACGCACAGTCTGGATTTTATGATTGAATTGAAAAAAAAATCTTTCTTTGAATTGAAACGATTTGCTGTTTTGATAGATATTATGACAACAAAGCACTCACCCCATTGAAGATTGCTTCTCTTCGTTTCTTTTCATCTTCTTCAGTTGAAACTATTTGCATTATGTTTGTTTTAGTTATGTCTCATTAATGACTGCGTTTAAATTGTCGAGAAATATTTTTCAAACACATGTGATCAATTATGTATAGTCTCGAAGTTAACACACCGGAAAATTATACATTTATTTTTATCAATATAATTTGTCACTTAAAGCATTCATGAGCGATAGGGGCCAGTATAAAGTATTGATATGTGATAAGGACATAATTATTGTCTATTTTTGGAGACGTTCTTGATTGAAACGAAACATAAATGAATAAAAATATCTATTAACGCCATTACACACCTTTAATTGATGAAAAAAAAAGGCACTCATATGACCTTTACTTTTTAAAAGGTAAACTATTCGTAATGATGAAGAAGGAAACAGTTATTGAGTACAACGATCGCAAGAAACCTTGAATATGATCGTCTACGAAAGGCATTATTATCTTCATTTGTTACTTTGATATTTGAAACAATCAATCCATCTTGTTTCGATATAAATATCAGTCGCAACATGGTTTTTCATAAATTTCATGAATAATTTTGTCTTTTGTTTCCTCTTGAAATACGTCTCCGTGTAACAGTCGTTAATTCAAATAATGTCGAGCTTTTCTTTCTAGTTATTGCAAAAGTGTTAAGCGAAAATTGCAATTTTTCGACTTATAGAGAATTTATCGTCTTATGTATTTGACTTTCATATATCGTTAAAGAGTTCCATTTTAAAGCGTCACTTAAGCAGTCATTTTCAAAGACAATGCAAGGAAGCAGGCTTTTGATACGATCCTGGTTGGGACAGACAAGCGTAGGACGTTGATGTAAGTGTAAGAGTAGATCTTCTCTATTGTCAACCCAACACTTCATCTAATTATTCGTTATAAACATGAGACACAATTCTAATCTTTAATGAGAGACATTCATCAAATATGAAACGAAACCTGAAGAACAGCACCAATCTTCATCACAAAACTCATTGTCGAAAATCGTAACAGTCTGAATATGACAGAAGAACTAGCGCATAGGCATTCAATACACATGACACCAATTGTTGCTAAACAAAATGATGTCAAAGAAAACCCATTGTAATTATTTCTTGATGCAACAGTGAGATACAGACTTACATGTAATGTCTAAAGAGCTACTTTCGATATATAATCACACTTTTTCTTGTGTTGTCATTATTGACGAGTTAGCAAGGAGTAACATTGTCATTGGGTAATAGCAGAAATCGAACTGAAGATTATTATCGAATCATGCAGAATAATCATTTGTCAACAATCAAACCAATTACTTTACAAAACATGAACGATTTCTGTAAGATTTTTCTGAATGCTACACACAGCTTCACAACATACATACGCAAAGAATAGATAGCGAGCCAAAAATCGTCTACTGAAACCTTAAGCAAAGTTGAAATGCATGATAGTTGCTTTGGACACAGCCACGCCCTTATTCATGGTAATCGTCTCGATTCCAGAAATGAAATGTTTATCAATTAGTTTATTGCTTATGGAGAGTTACTCAACAGATCGCAGCATAATCATTTTTGTTAGAACTTACTTTCGCACTCAATATCACTGTAAATATATCTTTTTTATATTTTGATCAAGTATTTCCGAAAGTCTATAACTATCTATATATATATAATGTTCAGTGTCTGTTTCTCTGTCCAAGATCAAAGATCAAATAAGACTATAAGAGGAAGGTCCTCAAGGGCTATTATATGGGGTAACTACAGCTCCTCAAGAGCTATTATATGGGGATATCCATAGGTCCTCAAGAGCTATTGTATGGAGGTACCCATAGGTACTTCAAAGCAATTATACGGAGGTACCTATAAGTCGTCAAGGACTATTATACAGGGATACCTATAAGTCCTCAAGGGCTCTTATATGGGACTACTCATAGGTCCTCGAGAGCTATTATATGGGGGTACCCATAGGTCCTCAACAGCTATTATATGGATGAATCCATAGGTACTTAAAAGCTATTATACGAGGGTCCCTATAAGTCATCAAGGGCTATTATATGGTATATCTATACGGCATGAAAGGCTATAATATGGGGGTAGCCATAGGTTCTTGAGGGACTAAGGCAATAAGGCTACAGTAGCTACAAGGGATACAAGGCTATAAGGCCGAAGGCTACATGGACTATAAAAAGATGTGCGATATAGAAGTATGAGGCCGTAGAGCTATCTATCTATATACACAATATCGAATGTCTGTATATCTGCTCCTGAATGAAAATTTAAACGTCTTAGATCATACTTTAAAGGAGAAAACAGCCGTGCAGTATGCACGGGCTCTCGTTAGTTTAATAATTCAATATTTTTTACGATGGATACTTGTACCTGTAGATTCATGTTAAATAGGGATGTGACGTTTATCTAGAGTAGATTTTTTTTTCCTCCTCTCTCGTTAAAGTAAATAGCTGACAACAGTGAACTTCCAAAGAGAAACTAAATAAAATTAGAGATGCAAAAAAAAAACATTTGAATGAATAATTTTGAGCTCATACACATTCAAAAATTCGATATTTTCAGATGTAATGGACGATTTTTGATTGAAATAACTTTTCAACCACTTGTCTGCATAATTGTAACAAAATTGGACAGAAAAATGAATAAAGTAAAATAGAAAAAATCAACAAACACAGCATTAATTTATACGTGTTTCAAACGAACCGACAAATGACGTATAAAAACTGACAATAAGACGCTATTTTTGTTCAAAAAGTGTAGAAACTCGATCTGTCTGTCTGCTTGGACATCGATAACTTTGAAAAATATAGATTTTTGTTGCTTGTTTCATCATCAGACACTTTGTTTTTCTTTTATTTCAGTCGTCTTTGTTTTGAGGAATATCATTAAAATGCCGTGCAGTGTGTTTTTTTTTTCATTTTTCATATTGCATAGGACGTGCTGAAACATCCATTTCATTTGTGCATTCGATTTTTTCATGTGCGTAGAAGTTTGTAAACTTGAAAAAGACATTTTAATTAAAATCCAATGTTTTCAATCGGTATAAAAATTGACTTTGCCTGCTACCTATCTGGTTGCGAAAGAAGTAGTCTGTAATTGTTTTTTTTCAATCATCTACAGCAAAAAAATTCTATTTGTTTCATCATCCACTGTTTCTGTTCTCTTTATTCAAAGAAGCCATATTTTCGTGGACATTGGTTGCAACATTGTGAAGTTATGATTCTCAATTATTCGAGACAAAATTTTCTGAGCAGACATGATCAACGCTCGTAACCAAAATGCAACTATGGCACAGTCAACAGCAATTCATCAATCAAACCATCCTTCGTTCGCACCACAGTCTGTGAAAGTTTCTCGACAGCATGAGCCTCGTTCAATCGGTAACTTGAAATCAAAGCCACGGCGAAACACAACTGGAATCATTCATATAAGAGTTGGTCCAGTACAGAATCATCGTGGCTCAGACAAAAATTTAATCAGCAAGAGACGACGCTCGGTCAGCTATTTCACTGTTTCAACTTTCATCACATTTTTTCTTGTAAATAGGTTTTTTCAACAGATGTATCGGACCATGCAGTCATCAAGCAATCCATACTATCATCGACCAATCGGATCTCAGTCGATTTGAGCAAGGCTTCACCAAAACAAGCTGGTATGGTCGAAACGACTCGGTCCTACCCATTGTCATCATCTCAGGTGAGTACTTCTTAATGTTAAGGTGACAAGAAAAATATAATCTCCGCAATAGTCTTTATGATGATACAGAGTATTCTCGTTGGAAGCTCATAATTCTATGCAAGAGGGTCTCCATACCTCTTGGAGATTTTAGTCAGATGCCACGCGCTGCATTATGTCATACTTCTTGAAAGTTATAGACCATATAATGGAAGAGAGTAGATGTCGACTTCGGTGAAGATTTTTTCTTTAGCCATATGCACTCACTGATTTAGATCCTTGGGGCTGTGAATTTCTACTAGCTCCCAGAGTCGTTGGATTCTTTATGATCTTAGGATTCCTGGAATTATGACTTTTCTAATAGAGTGACTTTTGTGGAGTGTGATAGTGCGATTCGAGCTGTACGAATCACCAGGGTGTTTTATATGTTGGTCAAAAAGTACCAAAGAAAACATCGACACAAGGAAATGAATCTTTGCGTTTCGTACACTTCTCTCTTGTATCTGTATAAAAGTATTTTGAAGTCTTTTATCCGAATTGCAAACTTGTTCGTATATTTTGAAATCAACATTATTAGCTCACTGGACTCTACAGATTCTAGAATTTTGAAGCGATTTGCAGAATATCATTTGTACAAAGGTACGGCTCCCATGAAAATACCTGTAGAAAATGAAATATATTGAGAATTCAGAATGGAATGAGCCAATTCAAAGTATAGTAGAGGCAGACAATCGGAAGATCTGCAACCAGTGAACTTTCTATTCGTTCACATCTCGTTGATCAAAAACAGATCAGGTTGAAATAAAACTGATATAAAACCTGAAATTAAATAGCTCACCGGTCCACAGTGGAGATATTTCAAAGAGTTAAAGATACCCAATAATTGACAAGTGAAGAAACTCTGATAAACCGAAAAACTCAAAGGCAAACAACAAATAGCAAAAGTATGAAAAAAAATTCAAAACTCAAGGACGATCAGAAAGTGTTATAGGGTCATTATGCCTTCCATATCGATCCCAAATATTTGGGACCGTGGAATGTATACCGTTAGGAACTC